TTATTTGGACTATGTATGAAATCTTTCCAGAACATATTTTTAAAAACTGACTGTATTCTGTCTCACTCTAAGATATATTAGCACCATTATTAGATTTCTGGATGTACTTCAGAGATTGTATTGGTGAACATGGCTCTGCTCAGAAATTAAGCCATCTTTAGTCTAGTCAACATGTCAGTAAATATTCCTATACACTGTTCTCTGAGTTTTAAAAGTAGATAGAACCCAGAAGGCTGGATTACTTTTCTTTTCATGTGGTTTCCTTCTTTGTAATTGCTTCAAATATATCTGAGAGGACAAAACATTCTTGATCTATGTGATATGGGAGCTACAAACACACATACTTGAGAAGGATCTTTTCTTCAGTGTTCTTTAGCATCCTGTTTGTCCAGCTATCAGTGATTGCTGCAGCACCACTAGCTGATGAGTTTTACCAGTCCCTGCACACCAGCTCACATAGGGACTCACAGTGAAGCTCAATAAGGTCTTCCATGTAACTGACCTTTCACAAGAGATGCTGGGAGCAGCCAGCTGTGCCTTTAGGATGATGGTGACATCCCTGACAATGTACTAATTTGTTGTATCCATTGCATTCTTCTTTCATCCTCTGCAATCCATCTGATCAAGGATAAACTAATCTATTTCAACCAGTTTTAGCTGGGCATCACCACTATCTAGTCTGGGACACTGTATATCAAAACATTTCTTGGCAGTTTGCTCTTCTACTTTGCTATTCCATCCCTTTTCTGAAATCATCTATCTGTAGACTGCTCCAGCAATAGAAAGGCAGGGGACAGGCAGCAACACAGTCAGTTTCCCAGCACAGTATTTTGTAGGAGAGGGTTTGTGTACCAGAGGATGGCAAACCACTCTGAATGTCTTCAGTCCTAAGCAGCAGTTAATGACTGAAGAGTAGGGAGACTTTAGGCACAGTAACCCTGCATAATGATAACAGAGATCAAAGTATCACTCTGAACAGTTAGGATGCCTACTTACTTATAGTAACAAAATGTTTTCATATCTAAATATTTTATAGTAGCTTTTCCACTGCAAAGGCCTTACCTACATGATTTCCCTGTAGTACAGAAAATCCTCATCTGTGTTTTGGAAATAATGAGAATGGACATAATACAAAACAGCAACTGTTTTCTAGGCCATAAGATGGCCTAGACATCTTATAGGAACTTCCCCAGTGTAAATGATTTGCAACAGTTGGACTCCTTGACTCTATGGATGAGAGACAAAATCCTTCCTTGTGAAGTTAGTCAATCTTACACATCAGCTGAAGTCATGTGCAGGTGACTATCACTCCTACAGCCAGACAAACCTTTCAGGCATGTCTGGATCCACATTAATCCTCTTTCCTTCATATGAGTCATTTCTGATAAGGAGACATAGACAAAATTGAATTTCTGTTAGGTGTGTGACTGGTTGGAAAGCTGTTCTCCAGAAACAGTTAATTATGCTTCACTGTCAGACGAGATGCATTAAAGCATGCTCTCCAGGGACTATACAAAACTTAATTCATGATTGAAAAGATGAAATTAGCATTTAATGGTACTCATACTACCTGGAAAAATACTATAAGATATAATGATCTTAAGAAATTATTTTAAGAATTTGGTTCAAAGAATGACATGTAACAACAATAAAGATGAATACCAACATCTGTGTTTATACAGAAATAATCTTTTGCATAAATGCAAGTGAGGGAGGACTGACTCAGCAGCAGTCCTGGAGACAAAAGATGTATCACAAGTTGCACATGAGACACCAGTATATTTTTATATAGTATGTAAGTGTTGTACTGGGATACATGGAAAGGAGGATTATTTATAAACCATACAAAGTGGTTCTTTTATTCCTCTTGACACTGGAAAAGACTCTGGTTTGGAACACCACAACTGGGGAAGGATTCTGACCAACTGGACTAATTCCAGAGGAGAACAAAAGAGTGATCAGAAAGCTAGGAAATATAACTTGTGAGAAAACATTAAATAAATAGAGGCTGTTTAATCTGAAGAAGAAGAAATATGTCTTTCAAATATAGAAGAGAAAAGAGAAGAAAAAGAGCATTTTCCATGTTCTGTTCAAAATAAGATCAGGCCAAGTATCAACAGAAGTTTTCTTATTATATTTTTGCTCTTAGATAATGAGGTATTGAGACATATTCCCTGGGGAGATTCTGAAGTACTCATCATGTTCTAGAAGAGGTAAATCGGATATCTGTGAAGGATAGTTTAAAATTTCTGCTGTAGCCCAACAGAAGATGATCTTTCATGGTTTCTTCAGACCCATTTTCTATTAGGTCTATGATTATTTTTTCTCACAAGTTAAATAGTAAGGACTGTGTAAGGACATACTCCTTATTGGTTAGCCCAAATTCCATGGCCAAGGAGGCTGCTGTCCCCTCATTCTGTCCAACTTTGTGATTTCAACATGTGAGCGAGCAAAAGAATCCCTTAATCTTGACAGAACAGCTGAAGCAACTGTGGTAGCAAAGAAATTTATTTATCTGTGCATGAAATGTCTCAGGACTTCACTGTTCTCAGTCTGCCACAATGCACTAAGCGATGCACAGATAGATGCTGATGGCCATGCCCTGTGTCCCTTGGGACCTTACTCACACCTGTGGGCACAGGAACACCAGCTCAGCCCTGGGCTCTTGGGCCATGACTGATCTGTGCTCTGTGGGTACCGACCTTCAGCTCAGCTGCAGCCAAACCTGTACATGACTGCAAGCATTGGCCCAGACCTTGACTCACAGGCTGACTTTGTTGAACCTGTCTCAAGACTATGGACCTGCCTTGAGATCTGTGGGCTGTGTTTGATCATGGTTACTCTCATTGGGCCTGGTACTAAAGGGTTTATTTCCATTTTTAGTTCTGGTGAGGTTCTTTTCTTGTCAACTCTTTTGCTCTCTCCCTATATTATATATATATGTGTATGTATGTTTGTGTATGTGTATGTGTGTATGTATGTGTGTGTGTGTGTGTGTGTGTGTGTGTGTTTGTGTGTGTGTGTGTGTGTAAACAAATCAATATTTATATATATCACCAGCTGCACAGGTTCCTTGGGGTGGTTAAGCCATTACTCCTGCACATTATCTTCAGGTGTCCACTGACTGAATCAAGTAATTTCCTTATGCCTCAGACCCAGGTGTCCTGAGCTAGTCCTCAGAAGTGTTTTTCCCACTTATGACTTCATACAGGAAGCCAGATGAGATCCAATTGGTTTTGGATCCAAATGGTTTCCTTCAAAAACTATGTTCCCACACACCTGTCATAAGCTTCTCCTGAACATGGTTTTGGCTCTTCATCCCATCTAGACAACTGATACACTTCCATTCTTTCTTGAAGGGAGAAGTTTCTAGAGGCAGGGTATCTTTAGACTTTTGTTAAGAGGCCTTTAACTTTTTGCCTTTACAGGACTAGCTTGAGATCCAAAATTGTTTGTGTCAGCAGCTGAGAGGTTGAAAGTCAGGAGTGCCAAGCAGGATAACCACCAGTGAAACCTGTTATGAAAACACCAAAAAGGAGCCTCCCTCCAAGATTAATATACATTCCACCAGAGCTCAGTCTAAATTAGTGGCTTTCTTGAGTGGTATCTCCATTGCTGACATTTGCTCAACTGCTGCCACGAGTTCCCTCCACACCTTTACCAAGTGTTTTACCATTTCAGAAGCATCCAGGTATAATGCAGTGTGTGGTAATGTGTTTCTGCAGTGCTTAATGCATGAAGTATGCCATGTTTCCCTACCAAGCACTGTGAGTGTTAGGAATAGCTGCAGTGTGAATATAAATATGGATAATCTATATTAATAATTTCTGGTTTGAATATTTAAAGCTATTTATGTATTGGTTAATGAAGCTGTTAAAGGTGTGCTGGTTGTGAGCATGCTGCTTTCACACACTCCTCCTCTGTGTGTCTGAGTCTCTCTTACTCTTGGCCTTGGGTTTTTGTTATGGAAAAGGAAGTTAAACAGTCCCCTTGTTCTGTATGTAGCAAAGCCAAGCAGCCTGACAGAAAGGAAGTGGAATGTAAGCTAGGCTGGTGGATACTGCATGGATATGAAACTATGTGGTCTGGAGGTTTTGCAGGACACACAGTGTGCGCATCCATGTAAGGTGTATACACTGATAGATAGATAAAGGTATTTGTGAAATAACTTTCCTCTTGCTACTGCAGGTTTCGCTTCAGAAAGGAGATCTTAATGCAATATTGTAAGAGTCCATCCCTTTGATCATGCATATGATCATGCCTACTAATAAATAGATTTTTATTTATTCTAATAAGGACATTGCATCTTAATATTGCTTTTAGTAGAAGAACTGAAGTCTCCTTAGACACTGTACTTCCTGGAACAGTGATGAACCCTTTCAGCAAAAAGGATTCAGCCTGTGTGATGATACTGTCATAAAATTTGACATCACTGCTCTTGGCTGGGCCACTCCCCTTCTCTTCAAATAACACTGATTTCAGCAGCAGTATCTGAAGAGAAAGAGGGTGCTTTGCAGTATGAGAGTGGGTGTTACAACTTGGCCTCTAATCCTTTACTGTGAAGTTGCTTGAGTGTGGGAGGAGGGAGGAAGAGCATTTATTTCAGAGAAAGAATATTGTTGTTGTATTCTCATACTAACATTGGAAATAGTATTTTAGTGAACTTTAGGGTACACTGCAGTACACAGCTAGAGATGCTGGAATGAAGTAAAGCTCATCCTATTTGGATTTCTTCCATCTAATTTTATTTTCCAAAGCTACATCCGTTCTTGGACAAAGAGGATAATCTAGACAGAGCTGAATTAAGTTGTGGTCCCTGACTGCAGGGCTTGCTCTTATGGCTGGCTCTTTTTCAGGGCGCAGAAATGAAACAGGAAACTCCTTGTGTCCTACTGTGTTGTATATATGTACATGGACCTATCTTCATTTCCTTTTTTTAAACATTTATTTCTTTTACTATGTGAATATTATGTAATTGTATTCCTTTTTGTTTCTTCCAGAATGTTCTAATTGTGGAGGTAAGCTGGGTGCTTATGTCATATTGTACTTAGATAAAGTCACACAGCCAATTTATGATGGGCTGTTCAGTTTCTAAATCCTGTCTGTGTTTACACTTCTTCCTGGGAAGTGGTGAAGAGGGAGAGGGGTTGATTTGCTTAATGGCCTCTCAGTCTTTTTGCAATTGCATGACAGATCAAACTACATTGCTGTCACTCTAACTGGTGCTCTGCCTCATGATACCCAGGAGTCTTTGTTTCTGCCTTATTTGATTTGTTCTTTCTGTGGTTTCATCAACTCCTGTTCTTCAAGTTGTTCTGTTCCTTGGAGGACAGTGAATCAACTGCAGTGATGCCCTGCATTTCTCAGGTGCATGACTGAAATGGTGGCCCTACATATGCTTTACAGCCCCAGGGCTGTTCACAATCTGGCTGGGAGTGTCAGTCCTTCCCTCAAGGCCCCCCAGCTTCTGCATCCAGCTCTCCCCCAGCAGTGTTCCTGGGCACAGCACATCACAGAGCTGTTGCTGATGTAAGTCAGCAGTGTTCAGTTGTAGAGGGAAAGAACATGTCACCTCACTGCTGCTACAAATTCTCATATAATTAAGATAGGTGATTCTCTTTGAAAATGTTGAATAAGCAACTGGGGAAGCTAGAGAGCAAATTCGGATCTGCCTGGCATTTCAGAACCAGCTTGCTTGCGTGGGAAGTAAGCTGGACTGTGTAATGAACTGTACACTGTTGAAATTTCTTTTCTTAGCAAAGGATGGAAGAAAAGCCATCAGCCACAGAGATGGCTGGTTACCTGAATAGCTGCTACAAACTCCAATTTACTCATTCCATCTGCTTTAACAGAAATTAAAAATGTCCAAGCAAATTGCATATTAAACAGCTGGAGGGCAGAGACAAGGTGTTGCTAACCTACCCCCAAAGTTCAGATCAACAGCTGCTCTCCATGGTCAGTTTTCTAGCCAGGTACCTATAGATCTCATTGAGATGATATTGGATATGGCAGCTCTGGAGAAATTCCATTTGTACTGTGCTAGTACAACAAATAGGGCAGATTTAGCCCCAACATGGAGACATGGTGACATACTGTGATCTCAAGCACAGTATGAAAAGTCTAATCCCTGCATCCTTGCAGTGTCCAGTAGAGTCAGCTCCAGTCCTGAGTTACATCCCAAGTACTTGCAACACAGCTATTTTCAAAAGGAAGTGGACAGTCCTTGAACTGATAATTTTATGAATAGAAAGTGCTTGCTTCAAAAGTGTAAGCTCAATTATAGTCTTTTTTGGATGTGGTTTACAAAAATGTAATGTACTGGAAAAATAAATCATTTCTACAAAACAAGAATGTGAAACTTCACAGGCATTGTCCAGATTTCCTCCTTTCAGCTTTCCTTTGTGTCTTACTTACTTTATTTTTCTTGTTTTATAAGGATATTGTTGGAACTGGAAGAACCATGAAGGTTCTGCTTAACAATATAGAAAAATACAAGCCAAAAATGATTAAAGTGGCAAGGTGAGTAAAAGTATCACAAAATTTAGTAATTAATTAGTCTAGTCCAGCATATTTTCCAGATAGTTTCCCATTCAGACATCCTGCTTTAGCTTGATGCTGCAGTATGAAGGAGAGCTGTGCAGAGGAGCTGCCTGGGTCACTGAGGGGAGGGTGAAGGAAAGGAGGGGAAATGCTTTTGTATTGTTCTGCTTGGCAATGATCCTCCAGCCATTTCAAGACTGGCACTGATGGACTGGGGAGGGGAATACACCCAGCTCTTCCCTGCAGTCAGGATGTTGTCAGGAAGAGAAACAGAACAAGAACAGGCACTCACGTGGCTCAGATTTTAGATAAAGGGAATAGTTTTATGTGTGTTATTCAGTTACATATCTAGATTTAAATGAGGTTATTTTATTTTTACTGAGGTTATTTTATTTTTACTTACAGTTTGTTGGTGAAAAGAACATCTCGGCCTGATGGGTACAGACCAGATTGTAAGTGTTCTGAAAATCTCTACTTGACAGTAGAAGTTGCCACTACTCTGTCACTTGCCTTTCATCACATTCTATGGACTGCTAGAAGCATTGTAAAATACCAATTGTCAGTGGGTCTATGGGATGCAATGGCAGGATTTGTATAATTGTCATTTGGAAAACCTACCCGACTTAGGTTTTCTGCAGAATCCAAACTTTACTGGGAAATTTTGAAAGGATTTAATTTCATCAATGAAAGGTGAGTGTTTTATCTTCTGTCTCTGACAATATCAAAGAGAATATCCATTTCTTCTTTTTCCTTCCTCATTGCATCTCTCTGGAGGAGCTGCAGGATTCCATCTGAGCATGAAAGGTGTTTTATTGTGACTAAGTGTTAGCAAGTTTTGCATTTTTTTATTCAGAAAAGCACTTCTATTTTTAAAAGTATTATTGTTCAAAGGGAAAACACTGATATTATAATTAAATCCCACCCCCTAAAAAGCAGAAGATAAATTGGGCTTTTTAAACTTTCCCCTGCTGTTCAGTTTGCACCACACCAGCACCACTTCTCTCTAAATTACTGGTCCATTACTGTGTTATGATGAAGCTGTAAATGGAGCTATACCAAGCAATTGTCATTTTAGACTTATTTAGAATAAATGATGTAATAACAGGTATGTGGCTAAATAAAATCCATCTAGAAGAGATCCATCCAGTATTTGCTACTGAAGAAGTCTCTGGTCAGCTGAGCTGGGGAGGAGGGTAGAAGGAGAGTAGGCAGGTGAGTACCAGGAGGCAGCATGAAGGGTTTTCATTTGGGATGTGGGAGAGATGGAAAATCTATGAAGCAAAAGTTACTTAAATGTTGGGCATGGCTGTGAGGTTTTAGCCCTGTTATCTGAACTATGATCCAAACATTTTGTTGTACAACTTTTTACACAGTGGAGTGGTATTTTTTAACATTTACAATTTAACCCAGTAAATTAAGGCATATATTTGACTGGATTAACTAATGTTAAACATATGAAATAAGCAATAAAATTACTTCATGAAGGGTAGCTTTATATTTTTATATATTAACTTTTGAATGAAACAAATTTTATCCTTGTTCATTCATAGTGTGATGAATTTTATAAAACATCGGAGATCTCTTTTGTAAATCACTGACAGTGGTGTAGCATTTCTTCACTCGCCTAAATTTACAATTCCAAAGTGCACATAACCTCCAATCTTAAACAACTGAATAAATTCCTTACCTGAATACCTGTAGAATTTTTTATGTGGACCTATTTTTGTGTCTGTAAGATTGGGTTTTCCTCTAGTTATTTAGAGAACAATTTGGAAAGAGTCTAATTTGTTTTATGTTGTGCTGATATTGCACAGACCTTCACGCTGAAAAAGATGCATGTCTGTGCTTGGCTTCAGGTGTGTGAGTTGTATAACTGAGGTGCACTGCATGCATTTACTTTGTTAAGCATGTGCTTGAATCTTCATAAGGTTGGGGCTTTAATCTGAAAGCATTTGACATGTTCTGGTAGCACAAAATACGAGATAGGTTTTACTATTCTTAGCAGACAATATATAGATCTGTGAAAGTTACTTCTGATTTAATATTCCACATATTTCCATCATTACTGTGATATGGGACAGTAATCTTCACACATAGATACCAATGGAGCTTCCAAATGCAAGCAGAATGTTCCAGCTCTGATTCTGGCTTCCTTCCACAATGTGCCAGTGATAATTTTGTACAAAATTATCCTCTCCTCTCCTCTGACTCTTCACATCCCTTTCACAAGTACTCTATGGCTGAGAACTGTTATGGGGCTACTGCTGACCATGATGTCTCAATCAAAAGTAACATAGCCCCAACTGACTACGTATAAGTAGAGTTTGCTCCTTGAGAACCACAAATGAATTTAAAGGCTTATAACTGCCACTGATCTTATATTGATGGTGTTTGTTATTTGTCTCACTACAGATTACGGATTTGAAATTCCAGATTTATTTGTGGTAGGTTATGCCTTAGACTACAATGAGCACTTCAGAGATTTAAACGTAAGTTTCTTACAAAAAATAGTTTAGAAAGTCACTGATCTACATTTTCCATATTTATTCTCATAAATATCCCACAATCTTTCTCCTCCTGGGGGCCCTGTGGAGGTGAGTCTTTGACATGGTTGGGATTTGGGATCCTTTCAGTGAATGCAGAACTCCCTGCAAAACCTCAAATAATCCAAAGGAGTTCTTTCTCAGTACTTTGAACAGTTCCCTCCCCCTAAGAGTTCCCTAAATTTCCATCTTCTGGGAGCCTGGGGCTTCTCAGGTCCAACATTGCCAGTATGTGCAGAGACAGCAGCAAAAGTGAAACACAGGCACAGGTCAGACGGGTTGTCTGAATAATGTGTTGCTGTCCCTTTTCTCAGAGAAGTGAGGATGGAAAAAAGGTGCAAAACTTCCCTTTGCTGCTTCTGTCCCTCCTAGGGGAGCATCTCAAAGCTGGGAATTCCAAGTGGGAAAACTTGCTGTGGCTAGAAAGTGAAATCAGAATTCACTTCCAGTTGTCCAGAAGGGAAAGAGTAATCCTAAGAGCACTAGGTTGGCCAAGCCTAAGTATTTGTGAACAATTAATTAATAATTAATAATATACTCAACCATACTTTTGCAATCTGTTCTGTTTTTTTCAGCACATATGTGTTATCAATGATCATGGCAAAGCAAAATACAGAGTCTGAAGCAGTAACATCCACACCTGAATATTTCTGTGAAGCAGAAATTTGACTACACTCCCGCAAGCATCTCCCAGAAAAGCAATTCAGCTGGCTTGTGTGTCTTTCAACTCAGTATAATAAGGGCTTCACTCTAGAGATGCTGATGAATATTTACAGAAGTGAGAGGTCTTATCTAAAATGTGAAGCATAGGAATTTTACAGTCGCTACCTTTATTAAATATTAAAATCACCCACCTAAGATGCCTTTTGACAAATAACTTGTCTGCCTCAGGTCTCATTGTGAACACATCTTCTTTTTTTGCTCAGTTCTTCATTCTACCTATTGCAATTCATGGACTTTACTGTGTCACACAAAATAGTTCAAAAGTGCCATTCTGTACATGAGGATTATTTTACAAGACTTTATTGACTTCATCATGCAAAATTGAAAGCATAATTTTGACTTAATTCCACAATTCAAAAGTTTCAGTGGAAGTTCTGTGTTGTTTTGCAGTTCATTACCCACTCTTCAAAACAAAATTTTAGCTCTCAGAATGTGCTGAATTAGAGTGCAGGTCAAAATGATCCTTTGCAAGACACTGTTGATCCAGAATTGGAAGATATCATGGTTCTGGTGTGTCATGTAGCCATAGATCTGACCTGTTTAATGTGCTGAATTTTAATCAAGACAAACCAATGCCAGGCAGGTTTGAATTTCTGCATGATGTCCCTTTCTTCTCTAAGATACAAACAAATATAAATATTAACAGTGCTCTCGTGAGATTATAGTCTTAACTAAACCTCATTAAGCACAAAAGTTTAATGTTAGTCAGACAATTATTCAGTTATTATTTGATTTTTTTAATGTGTCTAAGTAGAGACTTTTTGTAACCATCTGTCATGGAGAATACAGGTCTGACAATGCTGAAGGCTTGTATAGAAAAAGAAGGAAAAATATATAGGACAACATAGAAAACCAGTTAATGCATGAGTGTTGTAGACTGTAGACTCCTTCCTTTATAGATCATGTTTGAAGAAATTTGTGAATTTTATATACTGTATTAGCTGTGAAAAGTTTAATTCTGTATTAAATATTATAAGTGTTCTTAACAATTTCCTGAGGGAAACCAATGCAAAGTGAGTAGCTGTATCAGTAGCTTTGCTCTGAACTGTGAGAGGCAGATTGTTACTAGCTGCAGATTCCTATAAACTAATAAAGAAACATTAGAAATACTTATTACATTGCACAGTTGTTTGTTTTCCTGCTTCAGCATATTTTGCACATCCCATAAAAGCTTTTTAAAAATATGCATTTATCTGGTAATCTAAACATACCATAGGTATGTATTCTGTAGCTGATAAGCTATTGTTATTTGTATAAAATCCATGCATGATGTTAAGGGAATGAAAAAGATTAAAGAATTATGGTGATTGCTAGAGAAATGCCTTAGCTCATTTCTACTCCTTTAACTTGTATTTTAGAAGAGTTCTGTTGAAAATCTTTCCCTCAGAATAAATTTCTTCTATTTCAGAGAATAATGCATACCCTTACAGACCCTGGAAGAAGCTGCTGAAGAATTTAATTCCTTTTTGTTTGATGAGAGTGGTAAAGTTTTTCTTAATGCTTCTGACTGCTATTAGTAGTAATGACACATTGCACAGACTGACATGCTTAGACTTAAGCTTAGTCCAAGACATCCATTAGTTTTTTTTTTTCTCTCTTCTTGAAAAATTTCCAATTCACCTTGATACAACTATCAGCTCTCAGCAACAACAATAAAAATTTAGTGAGTTAGTGTAAAATTAATGTGAAAATATGAATAACTCTAGATATAAATCATTCAGACAGTGTTAAAATTGTTTAATTGGAAGACTCAGATTATTAAAATCTACATACTAAAAAGAAAAGATCAGATTTCTAGATATTATGAGAACTGGAATGTTTCTTCCAATTCCATTTCTTCCTGTCATATTTTTAACATTTAACATACAGATTTCATTAGTGAATTTGCATGTGGAATTATTCTGTGAATAAGGGGGGTGTTCTCTTCTAGTGTCATATTGAATTTTGTACCTGTATTTATATGAGCCTCTCCAGGTATCTCAGCTGCCATCCACATTACTCTTTGCTTGAAGTACTTCCACTTGAAAAATCAGCTTTCAATTACTTTAACAATCAGACTCTGAAAATCATTAGTGTAACTAAGGGAACAGGTAATCATGCATGTATGACTGATTAATATTGGACTTATTGGGTACTCTTTGGTGCGCTCAGAGAATTTATTGTCTTGTGTTTTGGTAATGTTGTTGATTCCACTCCTTTAACTAAAAGGCCACTAAGTATTTTTTCAGTTGTGGTTGGATGCTATGACCCACAAAGCTATGTTTGGGTTTTTTTTAATCAGTTCAGCAACATTTGTTACATAAGAGGAGAAGATGTTCTCTAAAATCCATTATTTTCCTTGGACATTGTGTTTACAGGCAGGCTTCCATTTTTATCTCAATTTTTCTTGTTGTGCACTTAACATCAGCATCTTTTCCCCACCTGTTGAATACAAATTAGCATGGACAGTAATTTTGTTTAATGTGACAAAAATACTTATCAGCCATCAGGTTTTAAATTTTATTCATTTATGTCTGATTCCAAAATATCCATAAGTGATTTTCTGGAGAGAAGGTCAAACTAGGAAGAATAATTCCTGCACGTTGGTTAACTGAAGATAAATTAGGATTTCATGTTGCAAACCATAGATATAGTCGAATATTTAGTCATTTCTGCCTAAAAAGTAGAATTTAAATAGTCTAAAAAGTCTGTAATTATGATGTCTTTTCAATTGAATCAGCTGCTGTACTCTTCTAGTTAGAGCTGGACAAAGTAGGAAACAGTGTCTGATTGATTGATTGATTGATTGATTGATTGCTATTAGTGTTATATTTCTTGACCATGTTATGTTAATCCTTGAAGTGTTATTAATAAATTTGTATAATGTAAAATTCCAACATTTCCCCCCAAATAGAATACTAACTGTATGTGATATTGAGCTGCAGAACAGTTTCTGATCTGTGAAAAAGTGAAATCATCACAGTTTATGCACTGTGTTTATGCACAGTTTTATATATTAAAATCCTTAACTTTGAGATGTACTTAGGTGATGAGTCATTACTATTGCTGATATATAAATTGATATGTATATATATAGATGATCTATCTATGATTCTTATATCTATATGCATCTGTAAGAATAAGATATATTTAAATACAAATATTTGCAATTCTAAATTTTAATATTTCTTTATGCTGAAGAAAGCTGAATCTGCTTCTCTGCATATTTTGCATTTTGATTTGCCCAGAAAACAGAGCAGTGAAAACCCCTGTTGTAATCAAACTTGTTATACATGCAAACTGTAATTGATTCTAGCTGCCTTGAGAACTTTAATTTTCAGTTTCAGTTAAAAATCAGAGTCTCAAAAGAGAAACATTACAGGGTTGTGTAGCAAGAGACAGAAGGATTCCTTGCCCTTTTGTAAAAAAATCATATTGGAGAATGCTTTCTCCTTCTTTTACCTTTTAAATGTTTTCCAAAACCTCTCATAATCTAAATATAAAGATCTGACATGAATGCAGTATCTCCATGTACTGGGTAAAGTATCCTAAATTCTTCTTCTCCTTAAATTGGAGGGAGAAATGTAGATACATAAGTTAATGTAGGTGTGTGTTAGCTCAGTCTTCCAAAAGTCAGCTCTGGCTGTACCTCCACAGGATGAAGGTGGCTGAGTCAGCCTCCTCCTGTGCTTGTCTCAGTGTCCTCATTTGAAACCTTGTAGGTGAGAGGAGCAGGCTCTCAGGTGCTTTAGCCAACCTTTCAAAACACTGAGAATACAGTGGAGGGAAAATAAAAGCTTGTATCCTAATTTCATGCACTTTTCACAGTTCTTTTTTAATGCCACGTGCTTTCCCCTGGGCAGGCAGCCTTGTCCAGCTATCCCAATACCTGGCTGAGATGTTTGCACCACTAGGGAATGACTGCTGTGCTTGCCAGGGATATTCAAAGCACTGACAGCACCACAGCAACACTTGGACAGCTAGAAAATTTTGGTCACAAGCCATAAACTATACTGTGGCATTATTTTGTAGTGTTAAAAGGATAATTATTTATTTAGAAGCAGCACTTATAAATGATTAGAAGGGGAAGACACCCCAAATAAGGAAGGCAATACAAACAGACTGAGGAAAGGTTGTCCCTTATTTTGCAGAAAACACACAACATTTTTTAGAAGGGAAAAAAGGAGGCATTAGTTGTGGGTGAGGCTCTGTGAGGCCTTTGAAGGCTGTCAGCTGTAGTTTGGATGCCTGTGCTGTTACGCAGAGCTGGCTGACCCTGCCTTCCTTTCTGTCAATAAAGCTGAGCTTGGTTTCTTTGTACCTTCTCATGGACACATGCGTATCCACAGCTGAACCTTTCACTGCTGCCAGCAGTTGTTTTGGAACACCAAGGGGTTTCCAAATGCAGAAATTTAGACTCAATTAGTTAAATACTTGCTGTCAAGCCTTGTTCCTTCTGCTGCTGCATGGAGCAATGAGCTACTGACAAACTATTGGAGTCTGCAGTACAGCGATTTATGTCTAATACTAAGTTTTGGATACTGTTCAGAGGATGACCTTTAGTTTGTTTCAGGAGTGGCATGAAAGTTTTCCTCTGTTTTTCCATAGCACAAAGAAACAGAAATTACTTTAGTACTGTAGTTCTGGAAGTTTGTCTTCAACCTGCATGACTGGGCCTCTGATAATGGTAAGAAAGTCTTGTTTCTAACCATGACACAAAATTTCATTAAATGAACTCATTACTGCATGTGTTCAAAAATACATTGTCCCTACTGTTAGTAGAGCTTTGTACATTTATCAGTGCTGTTAAGTCATGAGGTTACACAAGGGACAGCTATTGCTGGAAGACATATGTTATGCCTTCATAGCTATTGAATTTGCATAGAAAAACATTGG